TTGAATATAAGATAGCACTATTAAACAATTAGCAATATCACACTTATAAAAAGTAATATTATAGACATATGTTCAGAAACTTACCAAATTTTTTTAATTTCTCGCTAATGCAGATATTTCGACTTGCGGTTGGCTGTATTCTGTTTCTCATAATATCCTCTATCCATATGTTATTGGATTGTTGATGTCTTGTTTAGTTTTCAATATTATTGTTGTTTAAGTGAAACGTGTGTGTTAGTGCGGGGTTTTGAAATGCGCGATTTTCTGAAACAGCGATGCAACGTAAAATTTCGTGATACTGCAGATAACTTTCACAGAAACATTTCAGATTTTGAAACAAGCTTATGCAGATGGCATTGTGACATAAATTGAGTCATCACAATTGATTGGCACGGGATCTCCACACCCCAAGAATTCATGTCAGTCTTGACCCAAAGTCAAAGCGCTCACTGGTACGGATCAATATACGTACTAAAAAGAAAGTTATGTAATGTTGCGGAAAATAGATATCGGTATTTCAACGGAAATACTCGTTTTGGGGTCCCCTGATACCGAATAGCTATTTTTTCAAAACGCCCGTCCGTCTGTGAACACCGCTAGCGCCTTATTCATGCATAGGATTTTTTTCCAAATGGATATTCCCCAATCGATCTTGCTCGACTTATGGCGCAGTGATTTTGAAAAACAATCATCAAAATTACTTTACATAAAGCCCTTAGGACATTTTCAAAATGTTTTTAAAAATGATTCTCATTTTTCGTTAAATTTATTGTAAGAATGGTGTAAAATTCACTTATAAAGTAGCATATGTCCTATTTTCACTATTAACTCTGAATTTTCGAAAATTGCAAAAGTTTGAAAGTATTCGCGGACTTTCTCCAACTACGTAATTGAATTTTTCCTTCTAATGAAATATGTTGTGTATCATTAGTTCTTTAATTAAAGCTATGCACATTTTTTAGAACTTGCAGTTTTTGTTCAATGTTGCGTGATATGAACAATTTTTAATCAACAAATATTTTTCAAAAACGGCTCCAATTTTTTTTTAATTCTGAAAGGGATAGTACCCAATATACTCTTTATGATAAAATGAACACCATAGCGCTGTATTCTACAGTTTAAAAAGAAAAAATTATAGAAATATTATGTTGTTGACTGGTCTCTCAAGTCGTTAATATTTAGAGTGTTGAAGTTAAAAGAGCAAATCAGTTATCGTTGCTCTCTGTCCTTGAGTTCAACTGAGCTCCTCTTCGGGAGCACTGGGATATAGCTTAACCACGCCTCCAGAGGTAAGTAACGCTATGATGTTTTTTTCTAGTTAGTCTAGCTGTAGTACGTGAAAGCCAGTGTCACTCTGTAGCGCCACTAGTTTTCGACTTTAATGGAATTGTGTATTTTCAATTCTTGCCTCAAGATGGAAAAATAAATTATGGCGGGTAATACAGAGGCGTTTTAAAACGGTTACGTGATAAAATTCGCAAAGAGACCCAGTGTTGTGGAGAAATAACTTATGGTTCTTTGCCCACAACGCACCGGCTCGCTCAGTTTTGTCCATCTGTCAGTTTGGGGCAAAAGATCAGATTACTCCGCCTTACTCCTAAGGCCTGGCACCTTATGTTTTTTCGTTTCTTGTATTGAAATTAAAATCTGTGCGGAAGGCCGCCGTTTTCAGTCTGTAGATGACATCACAACAAATTCGTCACAGACATTAAGGGACATTTGGAGCTGTCCAGAATTTCTTAGCGAAATGGAAACACCACTGAGAAGAGTGTATAAATAGAGGAGGCGAATACAAGGGAACAAGAACCAATAATCTGAAAAATTAAAAATGAAGTTTTTTTTAAAGAAAGTTTCCAAATTTTCTGAACAGATTTCGTATCTACATATTTCTTTTTACAGTGATAGCTAATAATGGTCAAAATTTACCCGAGTTAGAAGAAAAGACTTTTGCAAATGGGGCCACGCCATAATGTCCTTGAGAATGGCGTAACTGCTCAGTGCTCATAGATTTATTTTTTCTGCAGGTAGGTATAGAACCTGGTGGCAGAACACTGCAATTGACATATTACATCTAGGAATAGTAATACAATCTTATTTTAAGTCAATAATAATAAAATAACAACAATAATAATCATATAAGAATAAATATAATAAAAACAATTACAACATTAACTATACATTTTATGACGGTCCTCCATGGAAATTTTAACTAATACACTTGCACTTCACTTCTCTCTCTATTTCTCTATTCCACAACACGTCACGACACTCCAATTCAACTACTACTTTAAATATAATTGTATATTTAATAAAGCAATGCATTTAATTGTGATTATCACAATAGTAATAATAAAATATTATAACTAAAATAATAACTATTTTGATAAGCCAAACTTACTAATTCATGTTACAAATTAAAATAGTTTTAAACCTGTGTACACCTTAATTAAAATACTTTAAAACCTGTGTACACCATGGCTGTCGCAAGAAACTTATTCCAGTCCGTTTTTGTTCTATTTGTGAATGAAAATTTTGCAACATCTGTTCTCTTTGGCCTGAACTGAATTTTGGGCTTGTGATCCCCTCTAATACAGGAAGTAGGTCTATCATGCTCTAAGATCTCTTACAGAGCACTTGCCACTAGATTGAAACTCTAGCGGAACGTAACAAAACCTCGTATTTTTCAAATAATGGTATAAATTGCAAATTCAAAATAACACATAACTGGCTTTAACGACTTTAAATGAATTGTTCGTAGAGTCGCATTAAGGTAATGCATATGGGGGTTTCTGTTAGAAATATTTCTATCTCCTTCATGGAATTAAATATGTACTCCATTAAAAATGTTTTTGAAATATATGTAGTTACATCTTTCTACGCTAAGATTTATATTACTTTGCATCTACAAGCCTCCAACGAAGAGAAAAGTAGATTATATTATGTTCTTAAAAAACTTGGAGATAACACTAAACCAAGTCACAAATATCTCCTTTGAATCAATTATTGTATGTGGAGATTTTAACATTGATTTTCTGGTTGAATCTTGCGAGAAAGAGCAGTTTTTCTACTCAATTCATTCCTTCTATTTAGAGATTACACTAAATTTCCCTACGCGGATCATATTTCATTCAAAGAAGGCTATCAATGAAATAATAATTAACAAAACTCCTACTCGATAGGAAGTTTCAACAAAAGATGTAGAATGGTGATCACTATGCACAAAGTCTTACCATTTTAAAACTCGAATTCTTTCTCATTTCTAAGCATAATAACGTTTCTCAAGATTTCCTTCTCTACTTTAAAAAAAATCAAATTGTTAAGAAAAGTCGTAAGGCAGGCTAAAACCGTGAAACATGATCACGATATTTTGAACTAATAAAACAAAAGCAATGTGGAATATAATAAAATGTCGACTGAATCAACTACAAACCTTGCAGAGAATGTTGTTTTACATTATAACGATAGAAATGAGTACGACCCGGCAACAGTGGTTAGTCCCTTTACCGAATTCTTTTTGAGAATTGCTGCAATCTTACTAAGAGTCTTCAGCCATAAAATTCATCAGACGTTTTCCCAAAAAAATTAAACATGATGTTATTTCCCGAAACTTCTTCCAATGAACTTCTCAAAATAATTAATTGGCTAAAAAATAAGTATTCGGCCGGTTTAGATTAATTTCCGGATAGTTCGTTATAGAATCGTGCATTCGCCATTATACACCCATTAACTCACATATTTAATGAATCCTAATGCAAAGGAATTTTTCCATATATTTTTAAAACAGCTCAGATTAAGCCGCTGGTAAAGAAAGGCAACAAAAAAATTAAATTAAAAATAATCGGCCAATTTATCTTTTGTGGGCTTTTTCAAATATATTAGGGAGAGGTTATTACGTGTGAATGGACTCCTTTCTTTGTAAACACGGCGCGTTTTTAGATTTCCAACATGGGTTTCGAAAATCAAAATCTACGGAAACAGCCATATTTTCTTTTGTGTATGTCTCCTCATCCATGCATCAAAACGAAGCACCTATTGGAATATTTTTAGATATTTCACACGTCTGAGATATATCATACTATTGTGGGGAAATACATCTTATAGCTCCCAGACTTTATTTACAAAACAATAATTTTTCTTATGCGGATGCTCAGAGCCAATGGTCAAGCTAGAATAAATAAAAAAGCAATGATTGTACGAATAATAAGCAAATCGCACACACGTGATTCTTGAAATTCTCTATTTAATAATCTATGTCTCTTACCATTAACTTGTCTCTTTTTTTTTGTCAAAAATTACTAGGCCAGGAATATTTTTTTAGGAAACGCTTATACCGACAACTAGAATACACGATGTAGTAATCTTACTCATCACATGACAGTATCAACAGCTTACTACAAAATATTCGCAGAGTAAATGTACATTATTTTACATCTTGCCAGATGACATTAAACAATTAAATTCAATACAAAAGTTTTAGTCCTAAGTAAAATCTTTTCTGCAGCACAACTGTTTCTATACAATTAGAGACTTACCCAGTGTTCAAAAGAAAGTAATACTAATTTTAACAACATTTACTGTATTATTAACCATTTGGATTGTATAATTCTAAAGAACCTGTAACAAGTATTGTACTCCAGCCTCTTAGTCAATGTCTTCTATCTCATCTGGTTTTCGTCCAGTTTCTCTGATTCTTGAGCGTAATCTGATATTGCCCCTTGCTTTGCTTCTGGACATACATGTAACTTCAATTAACTTCGCCCCATAGCAAGTCACACACAGTTTTTAATTGCTTTTGGCGTAATGAAAAAAATTACAACCAATTTTCTTGTCTCACCTAAGGTATAACATCTCAACGAATATATTGGCACAAAAAGTATAGATTACATATCTTTAATAATAGTGAAACCATAATTAAAAGGCCGGGTCCCGCAATCGTATTATAAAAGCGAGATTTGTTTCAGAATTACCTATAGTCTGCACAGGACAATTCGTCGACCAGCATGAGCAAACGTAAGTGCAATGGATAAGACTTTATATAGCAATTAATCGGGTAGAGATGTCTTTCAAAGCAGTAACATAACAAAAAGGTACTTTACATTTTATTTATTTAGACAAATAAATTAAAAACTACGGCGTTTGGGGCAATTTGCGAAAGTTTTTATTGTCTCCAGAATTCCATTTTCACATTTTAAGTATAAATGGTTGCAATATGAATAAAAGTTAAAAAAATACAAACAAAAAAGGAATAATACAAAATTAGAAAAGCGTGAGATAAGCAGCATGTGAAATACTTGAAATTTTTGCTAGACTCGACATTCGAATTTTACTTTAAATTTTTATTGACGAATATATATTTCAACCTCCACAGAACCTTTATTTGGACACTTAAATTTATAAGTAGTATTAATTTTTTTAAAATCTACTACATCTCTATTTAATGATGGAATTTTTTTCTATAGTGATTAACGATAAATTAATAACGTTCGTAATTCGCATAATGACTTCACTCACCTGCAAGTACCTCTCAATTTGCAGAATTCACTAATATGTAAATATCAACTAAAACCTCAGGCAAATGCCAGTGGTTACCGTGGAACAAATCCGAGCGAAGTTGTTATGCATGTGAAAATTTAAAAACCACAATGTCTGCACTTCATATAATCGTATTGTTGCAAGAGCTATTGCTGCCAACTTGCGTTCAAAAACTGTTTCATCATGGTAATTTTGTAACCGTTTGCATAAACTAAATATAATAGGCAATAATGAATGAACGGATACTATTCTAATACTTGTTGGCATTCACCTTTCACGTAGCGTACATTTAAATTAACGTGTAAATTATTACTACAAAAGTTTCAGCAGTTTACAGCGCTTTGTTTGAATTCTATAAAAATAACTATCCTTAAGCATATTTGAATAAGTTTATGAATTATATAATGTTATTTATCATTTGTTTTTTTACAGGAGTTTTTTGGGAGGGGTATATTCGAAATGTTTTGGTCAAATGTGTCGTGTTACATATTATGTACAATGACACAGGTTACACTCGGCTTGTATTGAGATACAATTTGATTTGTTTTAATTATTCAAAAATATCTGTGCTTGAGTGTCATGACAAGTTTAAATTAATTTGGGGGTGGGCGATATCCCTCATATTCCTTTCTGTGGATTTTTATTGACGAATATGTTTTTCAACCTCCAGAGAACTTTAATTTGAATAATGAGTGATAATAATCTTTCTGGGAATTTTTTGGG